ATAACCCAAAGGGAGTGGTCACTGCAGTTTTCGGCACATCAATGGCCTCGATTGGGATTTGGTGGTAGGCACGCACAAGGTCAATCTTGGAGAATATTCGCTTACCATGCAGCGAAAGAGTTAAGTCTTGAATGTGCGAAACGGGGTACTGGTCGGGGACAGTCACAGAGTTCAACGCCCGATAGTCACCACACGGTCGCCAGTCGCCGCTCTTCTTTGGGACAAGGTGGAGGGGTGATGCCCAGCAGCTGTCGGACTGTCGGATGACGCTGAGCTCAAGCATGTGTTCGAACTCTGCCTTGGCAATCTTTAAACGGTCCGGAGCATGACGACGTGGTCGGTAAAATTTAGGAGATCCGGTGGTGGAAATATGGTGGGCGACTGTGTGCTTGATGTCCACTTCTCTAAATGAGGGGTTGGTCAGGCGGGGAACTGCCTGAGGAGTGAGTGGAAAGGACAGTCAGAAATGGGCATAACAGTAAGAGGGCTGACGCAGGGATTCACATCGGATAGACAACGGGCATGAAGGTTGGTGATGTAGTCAATGAGTCGGCGATTCTTCAAATCAACTAGTAGATTGAAGTGAGCTAGGAAATCGGCGCCTATGAAGGCGACGGAAACATCGGCAATAGTGAAAATCCATCGGAAAATCCGACGAAGGCGCAAATCGAGTGTGATGGAGCGCTGTCCAAAGGTGGGGATGCTGGAGTTGTTGGCAGCGGTTTTTTGCGTTCGGCCGGAGTTGGTGGAACCACGCTAACCTCGGCACCAGAGTCGACAAGGAATTTGGCGCCAGCGATACGGTCCCAGAGAAACAGACGGTAAGGATGAAGACTGGCAACGCTTCCAGCAGCAGTGGCCTCTACTGTCGGGTGGGATCGTCTCCCTGAGGCTCCTGATGAGGCTAGAATCGAGTGGTTTCGGAAAAGGCACAAAACACGTTTCACAAGAGTGATTGGGCAAAACTTTATGTTGGGAAATGCTAAGAACTTGGTTAGATACACAAAAAGCAGGAATTTTGCTTGCAATTTTTAGAGCAGTTTATTGAAAGAAGGCGTTTTATAAACACCCCGTTAATTTTTTGCATCAGAAAGACAGTCAGTTTTAAATGCTAGAATAATAACAACTTTTCAATAGCCAGAGAATAAAAAATTCTCGGGAGGTACTAAGAACAATTGGGTCATTTAGGCAGAATGGCATTGCCGACAAAGACGAGGGAGGCGGGAAAGACCATTTCTGACTTATCAGCCGTCGTCAGCCAGTCATACCCGAGAGATAGCCCGTAAGGCAAAACGGAACTGGTGAGTTCCATAA